CAGCTCACTCAGGTTAGTTGGATTTCCAGCTAAAGGTTGGTGATGAGTCTCAAGGGAAACTAAACATTGTGGGGTTTGCAATCTATTGAAACCATATAACTAGTTACTTGGATCTGGGAATGTATTTTGCACAATTATCCAGGATCTAAAAAGTGTAAAATGTGTGTTGATTGTAGAGTGAGAGGCACTCATGGTTAGCCTAGATAATTTCTGATCATGTCCAAGTCACCCTTAGTGACTAAGAACTGTAGGAAAAGTGTATAGAATTGCCTTTGATCTTTTTTTACTCTGTTGGCTTTATTAAAGCACAAGAGATGTGCATGGACAACAGAAGAATACAGAAGTTTAGAGGTGCTGAAGAGAGCCAAGCGATACCTACAAGCCAGCCCCTGAGTTTCGCAGGCTCTACCTGAGAAAGTAGAAAATCTTGTAATCAATAAGCTGCGTCAGCTGGGTTGGGAAAACATGATTCCTCTGAAAGCTCTGATACCAGATTTCATTTCTTGTCAACTGGATCTATTGGGATTGAGCCCTCCTTATGAGGCCAGCTAAACACAGAGAGCTCTACTTCCTACAGAGCACCTAAGGAGAAGGTCAACTGGAAACAATGGCAAGCATAGTTTCTGCTCCAGTGTCTACACCCTTCACTTGTAAGAGTGGATGGCTCTTCTCCGTGGAGCCACACAGCCAGGGACATTGTTTCTGTCCTGACCAAAGCACTGTTTAAATATATTAAGAAAATGTCAGAGTGTCTAGAAGTGGCTATCTCCACAACATTTTGGCCAAACATTAGAATTATTTGAAGAGCTTTAAAAAGCATTGATTTCTGCCTGGAAGGATATTATTTAAGTGTAAGAGTATGGCCTAGACATTGGGGTTTTTAGATGCTATTCGGTTGATCTGTTGACTCTAATGTGCAGCCAGGGCTGAGAATTACTGCCCTAACTCAGCTACAATGGTTCATAGAAGAGAAACCTCAGAGAAGCTGTTTGAGACTAACACCTTTTGGCTCTGAGGTCAGGGCTCTTCCCACCGTTGCCTGCCCAGCTTCTGGCTTCCTGAATATGAGAAGTGTTACAAGAATTCAGGGCTGCTTCTTAATAACTGTGCTTCTGTATAGACTCCGGTTCCATTGCTGTGCTTTTCCAGTAAGACCAAAAGATTCTTCCAGACTATGGGATCTGTACTCTTCCCCTGAGAGTCTCCTGACTAGCCACCAAATTCTCTTGGAGCAGTGTTTCTCAAGCTTTCAAGTGTGAATGAACCATTTGGGATCTTGTTAAAATGCAGATTCTAATTCAGCAGTTCTGATATGGGACCTGAGATTCTGCATTTCAAACATACTCCCAGGTGGTGCATGGTGCTGGTACATGGCCACTCTTGAAGTAGCAAGGTTCTAGAGCTCAAAATTCCTGCCCATGGCCAGTACTTCCAATCTCCATAATGACAAGTGATGGCTTACTAGGTTAGAGGTTCTCCAAGTGTCATCCCTGGATGAGCAACATCACCATCACCTGGGAACATGACAGAAATGTAAACTCTTTGGCCCCATCCGTTGAACCACAAACTCTAGGGTGGAAGCCTGGGAATCTTTGTTTTAACAAGTTCTCCAGACGATTCTGTGCATGGTAAAGTTTGAAAGCCATTGCTCTATAGTAGATGACTATTTTCTCAAAAGTCAGCTGTAAATTAGAAAAACAATTAGACCCAAAAGTACCTGGTTATTCAGCTACCCAGGTCATCCAGGAACTCACAAACCTCAAAGCAAACATTATTCCTTTCCTATCAACTCCCTATTCTAGAGGGGTGGTAGCCAGGAGTAACAAGCCAATATGCGAGTGAGATCAAGCAGAAGCCACAGAGACTACATCCCCTCTGACTCCCGAAGCTCTGGTGGGGCTCTGGGTTAAAGACACACTTGAATGCAATGTCTCTCAAAGTACACGGATCCGAATCACTCTGGGCACTTGTTAAAATGCAGATTCCAGGTCTCCACCTAGGATTTCATGAGCGGGAATCTCTGGGGGAATTGCTAAGGAATCTGCATTTCAACAAGCACCCCTACATGCATTTTGCTTTTGATGCACAGTACGCTTGAGGTGCTACAATGTTTCTCAATGATTACTGGCCATCAGAATCTTAGGGAGCTTGTTAAAAACAGACTCCTGTGCTCACCCGCAAAGATTCTGGATCAGCAGGTCAGGAATGGGGCCCAAGAATTTGCTTTCTAACATACTCCCACGTGATGCTAATACTTCTGATCCACAGACCACATTTTGAGTAACGGGCTCTAGTCGTAAATGTACCAGGCATAAATAAACTGTACAAATACTAAATCATTGCACTCAGAGGTTGAAAGTGGTCTTCAGGTTCATTAAGTCCAAACCTCTTTTCAGATGGTTCAATTTCTTCCACAACCTCCCCCACCCCCCAAGTAGTCAACTAACCCTTTGAATGTTCTGCCAACAAATATGACCATTGTAGGGGGTGACTGGTTAGCTCAGTTGGTTAGAGCATAGCGCTGATAACACCAAGGTTGCCAGTTTGATCCCCGCATGGGCCACTGTGAGCTGCGCCCTCCTTAAAAGAGTCAACTATGCCATTGTGGCATGAAAGCAATGTGTATCCAATGACCATGGCTGTTCCCCAATTTAAAAAAAAAAATTAAAAATAAAATGACCATTGTGTGCTCTATCTACCACACAAGAGATGAACCATTTACTTAAACCAGATCAATAACCAGCTATTAACCATGCAAGGCTCTATGTTAAGTGCTAATGAAAATGAAAGAGGTTTCTTAAGTAGTCATGACTAAAGATTAAAGCTCTCTTTTCTTGTTTTCATTTTCAAATGTGTTGCTATTGTGGAACTATTAAAGTACACCATTGTTCACTCTTTTCATTTAATGACGAGAGATGAGATGCATAGATAAGAGTCACAGAACTTACTTTCACTAATTTTTGCTTTTATTTTTATTTCCCATAGCTGGGCATGGAGCAGCATTATGAACTTGGAGAGTATATAAGGAAAAGATATGGAAAATTCTTAAATGAGTCCTATAAACGTCAACAGGTAAGTTGGGGAGCTAAGAGTGGGAAACTTGTCCCTTGAAAAAATTTACCAGAACGTTGCATTTGTAAAAGTGTTTTGACTGTTTTCTAAGCAGCTTAAACAAGTCAGATATCTTGTTTACAAGTGTACTCCTCTTTATACAAACATTTTGTTTCTAAAAAATTATAAATATGAGTAAGTTTGAAATTTTATGGATACCTATGGTAAATACTTTAGCTTGGCAACTAGTAGCAAGTAGCCACCACTTAATTGGTCTCTTCTGTCAATTCAACTGTGGGCATATCAGGTTGCTATATTCCATGGCATGCTTATAATATTGTCTCTTCCATAATAGATCTTATGATCATGATGCTACCACAATGGCTAATATTTTGGTGTGGGTGTCCTGCCCTTTCTCAAATATTAGCTCCACCGGAAAAAAACCACAGTTCCTCTCAGTTGGATTCTGCTTTGATTTTCCCACGCTAGGTGTATGTTCGAAGCACAGATGTTGACCGGACTTTGATGAGTGCTATGACAAACCTTGCAGCCCTATTTCCCCCAGAGGGCATCAGTGTCTGGAACCCCAACCTACCCTGGCAGCCCATCCCGGTGCACACAGTCCCTCTTTCTGAAGATCGGGTCAGTATTCGGGAAAAAACACAGGAGATTCTATTGGGCCTAGAAAGAGGAAGGCAGGCTGCTCAGTGCTTGTGGATTTGGGAATCTGGACACTCCTGGGNTGAAAAATAAAGGATGAATTTCTTTAAACATTTCTGAAGGCAGAATCCCTGTGGGTTGAATGTCAGTATTAAGGAAGAAAGAAAAACCAAAATGACCCTGGGTTTTCTAATTTTAGTTGCTGGAAAGATGATGATACCATAGAGATAGGATACATAAAAGGCATTAAACATTTGAAATAGTTATGAAGGAATATGAGCTATAAACACCAGAGGAACTTATAATATTCTGTACAATACAATACACTACAGCACAGTGGTTAAGCATGCAGAACACCTGTGATTGGATGCCAGCTCAACCACTTACTAGCGGTGTGACAACTAAACATATCTGTGCCTCAGTTTCTTCATCAGTCAAATGGGGATAACAGTGCTTCATAGAGTCGTTGTGAGGCTTAATTAAGTTAATATATAGAAATACTTATAAGCCTACTTGGTAAATGCCCAAAACACTGTAACTACTATATATATGGAAAAAATATATATATATGGGGTTTTTTTTTCCCCACACAATTATCCCATGTGTGTTTTTTGTAATGTTCACATAGCCAGTTCATTAAAATGCCAGGGTTTTTTTCTATTCTTTTCATTCTCAAAAGTTTGATAAGTTTTCTTCCCAGTGTGGGGCCCCTGGCCCAATAAAAACTGGAAAAAATATATACATTTAAATTATTCCTCAAGCGTTAAAGAGGATTTATTCATTTGAACCATGGTTCGACTTCCTGATCCATTGACTTACTGGTCCTTTCCTCAGTAACTTTTGGCTGGAGTAGACAGCTGACTGCTCTCTTATTCGCCCTCATCTTCAGCGTTCATGTTTGAACAATACCTTTGAGCACAGGGAGGAGCGTCTCAAGGCCTGGAAACTTTTTTCTTTTTTACTTCTATTAAAGTAAGAATTTCATTTACAGCTACCATATTGTGAGCATTCACTAGATGCCAGGCTCTTTACATTTGTATTTTGAATCCCTAAAATGACCTGGTAAGGTGTATAATATTATCTTGGTAGTGCAGAGGGTAATAGAAAAGGAGCTGGAACTTATCTGTGGCATACTGGGTGCTGGAGACTCAAGATGCAACTTGTGGTGTGGCTTCTAAAAGATGTGCCAGATAAAACTGTCTACTGGAAAACAACCCCAGGTTCCCGCCTCCACTCACAAGCAACCCTCCAATATTTCTCCTTGGCTTTGTGGCTCCCTAATCACAGGCCAAGAGTAGCAAAGCTGTGTGTGAGAACCTGTGTGTCCTCCAAAGGCATTCACCGGACAGAGCACCGTACACGGAGCGTTGGTGCTGGGCCAAGGAGGAGGCCAGTCCAGTTTGCTTACACAAACTTCTTCCTGGTTTTAACGCCAACGCATTTTGCAAATTTTCAGGGTGGTGAACTGATCAGGAAAATTATATTTGGCTCAGACATTTCAATCAGCCAGGTTGCCACTACAGGCGCTTGAAGCTTTCAAAGTCTCCTAAACTCAAAGGGATAAATTAATTATTCCTCTCAGTCAGCAAAATCAAAGTGAGGGAAGAGATGATTGGATGTCAATAGAAATAGTTCTTGAAGGAGAGGGCTATGTTTCCCTTTGCTCAACAAGTAGTGCTCATTTACCCCATATGCTGCAAGCCATTGCCAGCAGGAAAGGAAGTATAGGGGGTAGCTAAGTTAAATGCCTGAAATAATATAACAACAACAACAAAAGGAATGGCAACAAATATAACAACAAATCTCATATACTGAGTGCATCCTGCGTGTTCAAGTCTATGATGATGGTTTTGTATATATTACATATTTTATTCCCCTGATCCTTCTGCATGGGAAGTAATGATTTTCTCATTTTATGGAGAAGGAAATCAAGGCATGTAGTAGTAGTTCAAGTTAAATTATTTTCCCAAGATCACCCAGTTAGGCGTTTACAAAGCAGGGGTTTGAACCCAGGTGTAACCAACTCAAAAATCAGAGCCTCTCTGAGGTATTACATAGCTTCCGCACAACATAATGCCCAGCTTCACCCCTTTCCTCTCCTGCAGGCCTCTGTGTTCCTCCTCGGCCCTGGATAAGATCTCTTTAGAGTGGCCTGCATTTCTGCTTTCCTCATGGAGTGCAGAACATATCCCCAACCTGACTCTTTTCACAGCCAGTTCGCCTTCCTTCTTACCTCTGAAGTGGCCTATGTATACGCAAGGTGTGATCAAAAAATACGGTGAATGTTTAAATTTTTAAAAATGATTACACTAAAAGACACATTGCCATTAATCCCCTTCAGAATACTTCTCCTTGCTTCAAACACACTTATCCCATTGTTCTTGCTGCTTCCTGAAACAGTTCTGGAAGTCCTCTTTCATGAGTGTCTTTAGTTGCGCTGTCATGGCTGCCTTGATGTCCTGAATCATTTTGACTTTGGGGAAGAGCCAGAAGTCACATGGTGCCAGATCTGGTGAATAAGATGGATGAGGACACACCGTAATATTTTCATTTGACAGAAACTGCAGTATACCAGAAGCAATGTGTGATACAGAGCTTTGTCATGATGGAGGATGATTTATGGCACACTTTTAAAACGCACCTCTCAATTGTAGCTCACACCCAACTGACTGCACTGAACAAGTTGAAACTTGTCACACACAGTTACTAAGGTTCGACACGACACTTGCCATATTGAAACTCCCTGCCTTTCCGTTAGATGGCGCTCAGCAGCAGCATTACTGTATTTGTTGATCATACCTCATACTTGGCTCATTCATTTCTGCCCAAATTCTTTTACTTTTTAATTCTTTTTACCAATGGACTTATTTCTCAGTTTCTAAAAGAAGAAAATAAAAGGCTTTTATTCATGGCAAGGTTTGTTGGTCAAGATTTTCACGACTTGGAGTGCACCCTAATAAAATCGGGAGAGGGGTTTCATGCCAAGAGCCAAGGTCCCTTTAAGGATTTCCAGAACCATCCCATAGTTTTGTGATGTGTCTTGAATTCCAAACCTGAAAGGACAACAGGATGGTTTATTAGATTCCATTCTAGTCCAGGGGCAGACTCACTTTTCTAAGAGCAAAGGCACATATGGAGGGTATCAAGGGGAAAGATAAGAGAATGAAAGAAAGGAAAGAAAGATGAAAACAACAGAACATAGTGTACCTTGATGATGAGTAACAATGAAAATCAAAAGCCATTTTGAAATGAGAAGATTGGAAAGAAAGTCATCATGTACCTGGAGGAACTGGAGCCAATCCAAGACTCATTCATTCGTTAAAACAAGCAGTTTGTGTGTTTGTGTCTCTATGTCTCTGTGTGTGTATCTGTGTGTACTTACTGTGTGCCAGCACTGTTTTGGGGATCTAGCCGTGCTGGTGACAGCAAAGATTCTGCTTTTGAGGTATGTTTGGGGACAGAAGCCAGATACACATACATGCGCGCGCACACACACACACACACACACACACACACACACACACACACGCACTAAAAAATTAAAAAAATATATCAGGGATAAAAATAAAACCATGTGATGAGTGAGAGAGGTGGGGCAGAAGTTACTTTATCATCAGTAGTCAAGGGAGGCTTCTGCAGAGGTTGCCTTTTTCAAGACAGACCTGAATTTGGCGACCAAGTGTGTGTGCGCCAGGAAAAGGAGAAATAGGATATTCCAAACAGATAGGGCATCAAGGCCCTGAGGCTAAAACAAATTTAATGTATTTTATAGACCAGCAGAGGGTAAGTATGTTTAAGAATGTAAGGTGAGAACCTAGTGATGGCCAGGGCCGAATCAGGTAGGATCTTGTGAGCCATTGTAAGGACTTGGAATTTGATACAAAGAGCGATAGGAAATGATAGAATGTCTGAGAGTGAGAGAGTATAAATGAAACAAGGCTGGCCATACACAAGTTGGTAACTGTTGGAGCAAGTGATGGACTCATAGAGAGGGGCTCATAATAAA